TCTACCCAGGTCTCCATTCAAAGTTCCATGGTAAGTTGGTGGACTTCTCTGGCAAGATGGCGGTTATGGCGCTTCAATCTGGAGATGCAGCAATATGTAACACGCCCGCGAGACTGCGTTCATACCAGCGCCAGCGACTAGGAAAGTATAGGTGTGTTCTAGCGAAAGCCAGCGTCCACCAGGGTATGCCAGTGCACAGTAGCGTTATCGCGGGCCATTTTACTGCTCAAGCTCAAATTGCCTGCGAAAACGATGGCATGTGCTGGCGTTCCTAGGTCGATATCCATCCATACTTTCCTAGCCGCTGCCATACCGTGGTGATCGCTAGATCGATATCTACAGGGGGGGGGGCAAAAAAAAGACACTTTTCTTCCTCGACTTTCAAGGCGATATAAGTTACACTTTAGTAATTCTGATTGGACATTTCCACCACCATATTCAACAGCACATTGTACACTATCATGATACTCCGCCACAGCCTTCTGGACGAGCGCCATCGAGAGATTCTGCCACGCGACCGATTCGGTGCCTGAGTTCAGCGAGATCGTTGATTTCTCCGCCACTGTAGACCACCCTGTTGAGCTCCGCTCGGACCCGGTAATCGAGGGGGTTTAGGTCAGGTGACACACTTAGATATTCCGTCTTCTTCAGGTACTCAACGCCCTTCCATTCCAAGTAGGCGAGAGTTTTTCCAACGCCCTTCGATTCCATGTGGTGGCACCCAATCCTGTAGCAGTACAAAGTTTCCAAGAAGGTACGGGCGACGACATGAAGGAGGATATTCTCCTCGAGTTGCTCGATGTAACCGTCAGCGCTCACCTTCAGTCCGGGGTCCACGAAGAAAATATCGGTCTTCCCATTCCAGGTACTTCCGGTCCATACCATCAACCGCCTTGGCGACTGCGGTGAAGATGATATCCTGGACCGTAGCGACGTTGTCGGAGCTGCTCGATGTTGGAGGTCTTCCAGATCAAGAGTGCTGGTCCCCAGGTAGCTGTCCATGGGTGACTCCATACAAGAAGTTTCGCAGCTGTTTGGAGGTGACGTGAATTCCATAGGCCTTTTTCAGTTCGGCTGCGATTGGAGATGACTTCATATTTGTACATGAAGTGATGGGCGAGAGCCTGCTCGCGGTTATCGTGGAACATCTTGGGTATCTTCCGCCCTGGTACTCGTATCCACGTCTTCTGTCTGGGCTGCGAAAACTTCACAGGTATGTGACTCGGCCGAAGTGTCTTTTTTGCCTCCCCCTGTATACTTCCCTAGTCGCTCGCGTACGCTTGAAACGCTGCCGTATGCTGACGTGGGCGGACACAATGTATGAACGCAGCCTACCCGAAAAAAAGACGTCGCTTGCTCGATTGTGAACATAAGAACTTTCACGCGCGAGAAACTTCTATGGTGAATATGAGAACACGAACCTGCTTAGATTCTTCACTGCAAGCTTCAGCTAGCTTTGATTCCAACAACATATATCTCTCCATCGCTTCCTCGGCTTTCTGGCGGTGCCTGGTCATCTCGAGTTCAGCTTCTGCCTGTGCAGCCTTACTCTTACGGAGCTCCGCGTCCAGGCGAGCTATCTCAGCGGTAGCTGCTTCAATCTGGAATTACTTTTTGACAGTCGCTTTTTATTATTTTGAACACCAAATAACTCTCCCCCCCCTGAACTCCTTTTGCTATTCCGGTTAAAACGCTTAGTCCACTGGTGAGACCTCGTCGAGTTTGTCATTATAAATGAAGCTCAAATTGCAGGTCTCCACAAGAAGGATTCGCAATAACCGGTGGGAAACAGCAAAATGCGCCTTCAAACCGAACTGTGCCAAACTTTTTTATTTGTATTTCAGACAGCATCTACCTTTTCGTTCGCAGAGGTTTCCTCAGCTGTCATTCGGCCCTCCAGCATCGCCATCGCTTCCTTCAATTCGTCAACTACCTAAAGGCAACCTGGTGTATTATTAGATCAAAACTGCTTAATTTAAAAATTGTACTGAAAAAACAATGAATGATTAACAGCACCTTTTGCGCGGCGCTCAGCTCCGAATCGAACTGCTTCTTGGCTTTTTCGTATTCCTTCTCAACTTCTTTCTTTGCTTCCTGCAGCGAAAGGTATTTTTCTTCAAGAGCGGCGAGAGCAGTGGTTGCCTGAAATGATTCAATTCAGCTGACCATTCTTCAAATAAGGCCTTATCAGAGATGAGGCCGCACAACCAGGTCACATTATGACAGCGAGGAAAATTGGCCGCTCAGCACGATCCCCTTGCCGCCCTCTGAATCAATTCCATTTCATCCATAAGTACAGCTTCACACCTCCCTAACATAGTCCCAGTCGGATGAGGAGGAGATTACAGTGCATAACCCGAAAATGGGAGGGGCGTGGCTTCGCGCATAATTTGAACATGGCGTAGATGTTTTCCGTGGGATATTTCCGTTTAACACAACTCATGCTTTCTTGAGCTGGATAAGGATATGACCACAGAAACACTGATATCCGATTAAAGGGCAGCCGCCACCACGTTCAAATGAAGTACGCGGAGCTGCCGTTTGACGCGCTGAATTTGGCTGCGAGCTCATTTTTGAAGTGCCTAAATTACCAAATCCGCTGAAAACTTGTATATAGAGGTAATCTAACATCCTGATTACGACTATGACATTCATTCTTGGCGCTGGCGCTAATGGAGAACACTACGATTATCTGCCCTCTGCTAAAGCTGAACCCAGAAGATAATCGTAGTGTCCTCCATTAGCGCCAGCGCCAAGAATGAATGTCATATTTGTGAACAGGATGTTAGATTACCCCTATATACAAGTTTTCAGCGGATTTGGTGATTTAGGCACTTTAAAAATGAGCTCGCAGCCAAAAGTCAGCGCGTCCAAACGGAACTGGCCAGTACGCGGCCACTCCCCTCCCAAACTTGGACCACTCCCTTCCCAAACTCGGAATGGAGACCGGGAGCTCGGAGGTTACCTAACCCCCTCCCTTTCCACATCAATGCTGGAGTTAGCGACTCAGTAAGACCAAACCCATTACGATCTCGTCGCCCACGCCCGCCACCTTCCCTCCTCTCTACTCGTATAGGAATTTTGCAACATACTGTCTGTTAGTACCACTTTAATACTTTCTACTATACTTTTTAGCCAGCGTTTTCGATTCCGTGACGCTAAGTTTCCTTGAGCAATCTTGATATCCTCGTCCTTTATCCTACCAACCCCATCTTGTGGACACCCAGGCACCTAACTCCAGCCATTGCCTAGTTCAATGAACGTCTCGGCTGCTTTCATGACATCATCTACTTCACTCAACTTTTACCCGACCTTCGAGCACTTATCAGTGCTGCTTTTGCCTGAAGAAAAGCACTTTTTAGAAACGTCTCATTAATTTTTGTAGCTCCATGATCCCCTTCAGGAACAATACACATAACTTACTAGTACTTCTGCGAAAATTCTCCAATTAAAATCGCCGTCAAGCGGGAGGTGAAAAAACACACTAGAATGCATGAAACGGGTAAAACCCAGAAAAAGGTGGTCCAGCAAACTGACCTTCTGCCTAGACATCACTTCAAGATCCAGCATGCTGTTCTTTTCCCTAATCTCCTGGTCAAGGGCTTCAGCTTCTGACTTCAGATATCCAATCGTGTTCTCCAATTGCGGCACTTTTTTGATAGCCTCAACATCCATCTTTGTCATCAGTAAAGCTATTGAATATTTCGGGCCTTGGAATGAACTTATGAGCCCTTAAAGCTGCGCGTTCATACTTTTCGTCAGCGTCTACCAGCGTATAGCAGTGTCTTCATGGGCGCTTTTCGATTCGAGCAAGACTGCACGCGAAAACGCTGCTCTATGCTGGCAGACGCCGGCGTTCGCTGGATCGATATCCATACTTTCCTAGTCGCTGGCATACGCTCGGAACGGTGGTGGACGCTGACGCAGAGTATGAACTCAGCCTAAGCAAACCTACTTCTTCTGCAGCAGTGATTTTCTCCTTGTACACTTGTTCCCTTTCTTTCCATTCTTCCTCCATTTTGACTGACATAGTAGTCAATTTGGCCACTTCAGCTTGCGATTCACTCATGCACTCTTTCAGCTGGAATTATTGACGGAAACAATGCTCTCTTGTCCTACCAAGGCAACTACCAAAAGAAAGAACCTCAGCCAAATTTTTTTCGAGATTCGCTTGATGGTCTTCAACAGCGGCTAAACTGTTCTTGAGAGCATCACGTTCTGCTGTAAGAGCAGCAATCTCCGCTTCGAGTGACTCCACCACCTTGAATAGTAATTTTTTCAAAAAGTTCACCAATAGATATCCTTCTTACTTTTTTGGAAATAGCCTCGTTTTTCTCAGCTTTTTCAACTGCTATCAACAGCTGTTCCTTGAAATTGTCTCTTTCACCTTCGAGAGATTTCAAAGCAGACTGAAGCCCAGCAAATTCTGGTTACGACCTGAAATCAGCTGGTATGGATTGTAGGGCAACAACAGTATGATGAGCAGATTTGGACCTTCTCAGCTTCAGCCGCTTTTTCTTCATACAACTGCTTTCCAAGCTTCACTTCCTCCATAAGGGCAGTTTTTTCCTTCTGCGCATCTGTGACTTCAGTTTCTAGTTTGGAAATTACTTCGCCAGCCTGAAAGGAGAAGAGGTAATCTACGTTAATCCTGTAGAGTTCCCAGTGTCTGTACGCAACAAAATTCATGTCTAGGCGTTGCAGGGGGGGCGGTTAAGGAGTCAGCTGTGAGCGTGCAAGTAGTGGACACACTTAGGCGAAAACGCTCGCAGTGTACATACAGTCTTGTTCGCTGCGGATGGTGGGACGTGCAAGGGGGATGAGTTTGGCGCGGCGCTAGTCCATTCCTTTTTTCTTTAGGTTGACCACAAGACTGAGTCATATCATTCGTAACAGCCGTTTTCCAATTTGCTGTCGCTTACTCGCTTCGACTGGTGGGAACGTACCCAACCACGCCCCAGCATCCGCAGCGAAGAGGACTGTACATTGTTCAGTGCGTATAGCACGAGAAAACGTCGAGCCATCTGCCTCCCCTCTCTGCCTGAACCTGGACCTTCTCACCGAAACGCAACCGTCATCGCTCTCTCAACTGGCACAAGGACAATCACCCTCAAATTGAAAGCTGGCTGCTCATGAGTCGTCAAAACAGTGCCAAAGTGTCATACTAAGAATGTTTACTCCAACGAAGGTTTATGATGGATCCACGCTCGAATCAGCAAAGGGTCCCATCCCTTCAGCGTCAACCTGGGAAATAAGAACACCTGATACGCTATAAGGAACTCCTCGCCATTCATTGTGACAGCCAGGTACGCTTCCAAATTAGGGTACGTCGTGCTTTCGGGATACCCAGCGACAGGGGACATATTTTGTCGCTAGAGGGAGGAGGTCGGGTATATGCCACTTCGAGAGAAATGTTTTCGAGTGCTGATTTTTCCAAATTCCTTCCTGTTTCGGGCGTTTTATTTGCCCCCACTAGACGGCAGTTCTTTGGAAAGTAGTGCAATTTCCGGAAAAAGGGGAAGTTGGTTAAACACAGAAAGACGGTTGCTAGGATGGGAAAGGGGTTGTACGTAGGGAGAAATGGGGGAGGGATTGTATTTTTCGGAGATTCTAGTCGAGTCCGTACGACCCCCCCCCATTTTGGGAGGGGGGGGGGGTGGTACGACCCCCCTCCGGCCCTCTGTCCCTCCTCATCGAATCGAGCCGTCGAGCGGGGGGGGGTAAATAGCACATGTGAAACAGGAAAAGCCGCGAGACAATACGACCCCCCCTTCTACCAATTCTCAGATTTTCCCCAACTTCCTGCCATTTTTCCAAAATTTCCCGGAACTTCCCTACCTTCTCCCAAAAATGGCGTGCCCTAATCTGATTAGAGCTATAATTCCAACCTTCTTCACTTCGTTGGTCAGTGCAGTTTGCTTCTCAATTTTCTCCTCAAGTTCCGATGTCAGTGCTTGTTTATCGGCTAAGCCAGCAGCCACCATTTTCTCCAATTCAGTCACACGAAGGTTCAGTTCCTGAAGAAGAATATTTCAACAACTGGGCTTGAACACAAGCTATTTGCGAAGTACCTCAGTATGGCATTTGATGTGATCGGTAAGATGCTTTTCGGCTGCGGCAGCTCTGGACTCTGCATCCATCAATGCATTACTGGCTTTGTTCAACGCTTCCGTGACAGTGTAACTGAACAAAAGCGGATACATTGTTAACCTTAATTACTAATAATGATAAGTAATCATATAAGTGCTCACTTTTCATCTCGCAATTGCATTATTTCCCGGTTGGCAACATCACGAGCCAATTTCTCTGTCTCCAGCTGCTCTTCGAAAGCAGAACACTGAAAAAAACTTAGGGAATAGGGTTAAAATCCCATAAACGGGAGAACTGGAAACATCTCTACGACCACTGAAGTTTGGGTAGGAAAAGGAGCGAAAAAGTTGCTCGTTATCCTGGTCCCCCAGTACCCTAACCAGTTTTGCCTAAGATAGCGTTCAGACTTCGCCACGGCGCGTTGACGCGCTAAAATTGCAACAGCGCCCCAGTCCTGCAGACGCGACGCAGCCGCAGACGGGAATTGATTGGCGTTATCCGCCTGCTTCGAGAAAGTATGAGGGAACAGGAGGTTGCGCTTTGTCCTGACCACGCAGTCTGGTGTCGATCGACACTGGCAGCTCGGGATTCGGGAGAGTACAAAAGAATGGGAGCGTACCAGATCGTGTGAGACAGCACCTGCTGTTTTCTACACTCTCTCAGAACACAGGAGGCCGCAGACGATCAATTCCCGTCCGCGGCTGCGTTCGCGCCTATAGGATTGATGCGCTGTTGCAATTGTAGGCGCGTCGACGCGTGTCATCGCGATGTTTGAACGCTGCCTTAGAAGAATGCCAGCGACCAGAATCCACGCCACTCTTCTCCGGCACGCGGAATCAGGTGCGCCTCGCATCGGCTAATGCCGTTTGGACTCCAGCAATTTCGGCACCGAGCTCATTTTTAAATTGCCTAAGTCACCAAACCCGCTGAAAACATGTACACAAGGGTTATTTACCATCGTGATTACAATTATGACACTCATTCTTGGCGCTGGCGCCAAGGGATGACACTACGATTACCTCTTGGGCTCAGCCTTAGCGGAGCGCAGATAATCGTAGTGTCATCCATTAGCGCCAGCGGCAAGAGTGAATGTCATATTCGTAATCAGGATGTTAAACTACCCCTAAATACAAGTTTTTAGCGGATTTGGTGACTTAGGCAATTTAAAAATGAGCTCGGTGCCGAAATTGCTGGAGTCCAAACGGCATTAGCCCCTCGCATCCCTCACCGACTACAGTACCGCCAGACGCAACAGTTACAACTAAAAACGACAAGCACATTCCGAAAAACCCACTTTTTCCTTCAAGGACTTCATTTGAGACATTTCTGTGTCAAAGTATTCTGACTTTTCCTTTCAACTCTTCCTGCAGCGTCGTCTAAGTGTGCTGTCTTCAGCACCATCACGCTGGAAGGATCGCTTCCTTACGCGAGCTTCTGCCTTCTCTTGCAGCTGTCGTCCAAGAGCTTTGAGACTTTACATCCTTCGTCCTATACCGGGACAAGCCTTATAGTAATACCTATATTCCAAAATTTCCTGCCTTCTCACACATCTGCCTTTCATCAGCTCCATTTCACACTAGCCATCTGAATTTCGCCGCGCCTTAAGTCTTCTCGTTTTCTGGGGCTTCAGCCAACTTTACTTCTTAAATCTCAACCCATCCCCTTCAGCCGGACGCCGCTAAACCGAATCGTTTAACTATATCCATTAGCTCAAAACAAGTCCCTGTCATCATTGTTACCATTGAATAAACTGATCTCCTCTAGGCTCTGCTGTAGCTTTGCACATTCCTCAGCATGTCTTCGATTAGCAGTCAGCATCGCTTCCTCCCGATCCAGAAGCTAATACAAACCAGTAAGACTCTACAGTCTACCTCAAATTCTATAGCAATCAAAAAATCTATTCCGGTACAATCATATATTTTTTATAGTTACCAACTTCACCTATTTCAAACCAAAATCAACCAACTTTTCAAACCAAGAAACCACCACCTTTCCAATCAAATTTATCACCCTTTCTGGACCGGGCCAATCGTGCCGAACAACACCGCCAGCCCCGCCTCGACGGTCACGCCCTTATGTCAGCGCGGTCATAAATTTTTAGATTCTATCTCATAACTTCTGCTTCTATAACATTTTTTGACTTTTGCTGTTTCGCACATACTCACTGACTAGAAAGGACTGCACATCCACACATGGCCGACTCTGCCCACTTTTCAAGAATGCGCAGCAAACTCCGAATTTTGATAACTTTTTCAAATTTGACAATGTTCATATCCACTCATCACAGAACGGATGTACTCATGGACGCTCATTCATGTACCAGCAGATTAAGCTCCGTCCCTCAGACCACGCCCACCCTTGCGTCTTTTTGCGCAGTTGTAGCCCTTTTTCAAAACTGTTACTTTTTCGAGGGCCCCGAGAAGCTGCGCTTACTTGTACAATCCCCACCCACTTTTGAGGCAGGCTAGAGTCTCAACTGGCATGTTATTACGGTCTCGCTCCTCACTCGGAACAAAAGACCAAGTTTCTTGCGAGCGATGAGGGAACAAACAAGTACAATTCGTCTTCAATGAAAATATTGCAAGAAACTGACCTCTTTCTCCAATTCAGCCAACCTACTGCGCATTGCTGCCAAATCACGATTAGCCGCAGTCACCTGTGAATAGTGCCAATAACACTGCGAGAAGTTGGACACGACTAAAACCTTCAAAATGGAAATCCAACTCACCTCTTCCGAGAGAGCCATTGAGGTCACAGCCGATTTTGTAGCCTCATCCAGTTCCTGTGATGAATGAACTTGGAAAAGATAGAAACTCTTCAACAAAAAACATGCGTTCTGCGGAAGCTGTTGGCATCTAGCCTCCTCCAAAGTGAGGTAAGGATAGGGGCCTCATGTCACCATCATGATAACCACTAGACAGGAACTTGTTTTATATCTGTCCTTTCGAAGAACAGAGCCTTTCTTTTCCCTTTAACCTATAGAGCCTGATTTCTGGCTCGAGCGACACCTCTGGATGGTTTTCCTATGATTTTTCTTCTACAATACTCTTGTAACAGCAATGTCATCAGGCAGAGATCATCGTCGACAAAAGAACCCCAACAAAGGGAGTCCCATATGGGTCGGTGGTGGGGAACCTATTCCGCTTCGTTGGGAGGAATCTTTGGGGGTCGTAGTTGGGGGGGGGGGCAGGGCACGCTATCGTTGTAATGATCACAACGGGGATTTGACCGCGAGGGACTGGGGGTCGTGTCTTATCTCAGAAAACTTTTCTTGGTAGC